TTGTGGTGTATGGTTTTTTTGATGAGTTGCTGGATTCTATTTTTTAATATTTGGTTGAGAGTCTTCGTATCCGTCTTCATCATGAATATTGGCCAATAGTTTTCTTTGCTGGTGGTGTCTTTGTTTGCTTTTGGTATTAAGGAGATATGTGCCTCATAGAAGTTGTTTGGGAGAGGTCCTGTTTTTTCAATTGTCTGGAAAAGCTTGAGAAGAACTGGCAACAGGTCTTCTTTAAATGTTTGGAAGAATTCACTAGTGTATCTATCTGGGCATGGGCTTTTGTTTTGGGGAAGACTATTGATTACAGTTTCTATTTCCTTGATATTAATGGGTCTATTCATGTATCCCAAGTCTTCTTGGGAGATTATAGGAATCCAGGAATTTATCCATTTCTTCTAGGTTGTCATGTTTTATAGCATACAGACTCTCAAAGTAGTCTCTGACGATCTTTTGAATCTCATTGGTTTCTGTTGTGATGTCCCCTTTTCCATTTCTGATTCAGCTTATTAGGGTTCCCTCTCTCTCTCTCTTGTGAGTCTCGCTAGTTTATCAATTTTCTCAAAGAACGAGCTCTTGGTTTCACTGACCTTTCGGATTTTTTGGGTTTCCATGTTGTTAATTTCTACTCTAAGTTTTATTATTTCTTTCCTTCGGCCGGGTTTGAGTTCCTTTTGTTGGTCTTTTCCTAAGATCTTGAGCAGTGTGGTCAGGTTATCTATGTAGGCCCTTTCTTCCTTCCTTAGGAATGTTTGCAAAGCTATAAATTTTCCTCTTAATTCAGCTTTAGCTGTGTCCCATAGGTTCTGGTAGCTCATGTCTTCATTCTCATTTGTTTCCAGGTATCTTTTGATTTCATCCTTGACTTCCTTCCTGACCCACTCATTGTTCAACATTGAGTTGTTTAATTTCCAGGTGTTTGATTTGTTTCTCCGTGTCTTTGTGTGATTCGCTTCTATCTTCAGCGCATCATGGTCTGAAAAAATTATTGATACTACTTCTATCTTCCTGATTTTACTGAGGTATATTTTGTGGTCTAGCACATGGACTATTTTTGAATATATTTCGTGTGCACTGGAGAAGAATGTATATTGTTTCTTTTGGGGGTGTAAAGCCTTGTATAGATCTATTAGCACTCTCTTTTCTATTTCTTCCTTCGAAGCCAATGTTTCCTTGCTTAGTTTTGTTCTTGTTGATCAATCCAGAAGTGATAAGGAGATGTTGAAGTCTCCAACTACTATTATGTTGCTATCGATGTCCTCCTTAAAATCTGTTAGCAGTTGTTTTAAGTATTTAGCTGGTCCCTCATTAGGTGCATATACATTTATGAGTGTGATTTCTTCCTGTTATACGTATCACTTGATAAACAGAAAATGGCCTTTGCTGTTCCTTCTAATCTTTTTCAACCTGAAATCTATGTTGTCGGATACTAGTATGGCTACTTCAGCTTTTTTGAGGGAACTGTTTTCTTGCAGCATATTTTTCTTCCTTTAACTTTCTGTTTGCTCTGACTGTTCATATGAGTTTCTTGTGGACAGCAGAATGTTGGTTTCAGTTTCTGGATCCATTCTGCCACTCTGTGTCTCTTGATTGGTGCATTTAGACCATTAGCATTTAGAGAGATTATTGTCATGGGGTTTTGTGCCATCTTTCTGTAGGGGTCTGTTGTGCTTATAAGTGTTTTTCTTCTTATCTTACAGGAGCCCCTTTAATCCTTCTTTTAAATTCGGTTTTGAATCTATGAAGTTCCTGAGCTGTTGTTTATCTACAAAATAGTGTATCGTTCCATCGAGTTTGAGTGAGAGTTTAGCTGGATAAATTATTCTTGGTGAGACCTTCATTTCATTGAGTTTTTCCACTATACCCCCCCCACACTGTCTTCGGGCTTGGAGGGTTTCCTGTGATAGGTCTGTTGTAAATCTAAGGGGTGCTCCTTTGTATGTGATTTCCTTCTTTGACCTTGCTGCTTGCAGTACTGTGTCTCTATCCACGGCATCCATCATTCTATGATATGACTTGGAGTGTTTTTATTAGGGTCTCTTTTAGCCGGCACCCTTCTGGCTCCTTGGATCTGGATGTCTGCATTCTTTAACTCTAGGAACTTTTCAGCAATGATTTCTTTGACTGTGACGTTTTCACTGGGGTTGCCTCCCTGTACTTTCAGTACTCCAATGATTCTAATATTTTTCCTCTTGGCATCATTCCCTAGATCTCTGATTCTCCTTAGAGCTATTTTTAGGTCTTTTCCCATTGCTTGTTTTTCCCTATGTGATTTCTGTTGCTCATCTTCAAGTTCACTGATCCTGTCTTTAGCTGTAGTCATTCTACTGCTGAGGGCAACCACTAAGTTTTTTTTTTTAAGTTTTTAATTTCATCTACTGAATCCTTTATTTGTGACACTTCTTATTGTAGCTTTTTTATTTCTGCACTCATTTCTTCCAATATTTTCTCGACTATCCGTTCCACTGTTTCTTTCATTTCTTCTTTTGATTTTCTGGATGTCTGCTCCATTGATTCTTTGAGTAGTTCCTTGAACAACCTCAGCATTTCATTTCGGAATTCTTTATCAGAGACAGCATATTTGTGGATAACTCCTGCTGAGGATTCGGGACTCTTTTCTTCGTCCTCTCCTCATAGTGGAGATTTGTGCTGTTTCTTCATATTATTGTGGTTGTCTAGAGGTAAAACCTTGGAATTCACTAGCACTGTTCCCTCTTATCGTGTTAAAGGATTCTGAATAAGGTCGGTAGATAGTGGTCACCCTTCTCCCTTTCTAGAATCTGTCCTTCCTCTCAGGCATTATTCTGTGGCTCATGACGGGCATCTAGCAAAGCATTGGAGGAGGTGTTCTTTTATATTGGGCTTTTACAGCTTCTTGATTACTAGTCTTTTGTTGAAATTGGTGTAGGTCAGTGGATTATTGTGGTACTGCTGATTATTATTGAGGCGGCCAGGACTTTTTCCACAGAATTAGGTGATAAAGGCTGGGATGTGTGTTGAGAGTGCTAGGAGTGGGAAATATAACTGTGGCCCTGTTGAGGGGCCACCCTACTCAGAGAAGGCCACCACTCACTTTTGAGGAGGCCAAACCCCCAGTCAGTCCCAGGGACGCACTGACTTAGGAATCTGCAGAGGAGGGCTGTGCCATGGTGAGGTGGGCAGGTGGTCCAGCGGAACTCGGGCAGGTGTTCCGCAGAGTCTCCTCTGCCTGCCCAAAAGTGGGGGCCGGCGCAGAGAAAGGGGCACTCATGTGGGGGGTGTGGGAAAGGAAAGCGCTCCCTGACTCCCTGATGAACCTGCAGAGGAGGGCAGTGCCCTCTCTTGACCCTCTTACTCCTATATTTTAATCCATTTGCAGAATCCAACTCCTACAAAATGATGCATTTTATTTATCTTTGTCTGTATCTGCACCCAGATCAATAATCTCTACAATTGCTAGTCATTGCTACTTAAGAATCCGACTGCCAATCATATCGAACCAAACCTTTTCCCTAACAAAACAAAGAATGGAAAATAAAACAGGTGTGGCATAAAATAACAAAGCCAAAAACTGTTAAGAATAAAAATTGAAAAAAAAATTTCAGGGTGCCAGAGAGATAGTACAGCCAGTATGATGTTTGCTTTGTATGCAGCTGACTCATGTTCAATTCCTGGCATCCCACATGGTCCCCTAAGCACCCCTCGAAGTGATTCCTGAGTGCAGAACCAAGAGTAAACCCTGTGCATCACCACGTTTTGAGCCAAAACAAAACAAAGTTCATTATTTCAAGCTTTTCTGAGATTTTTTTTAAATTTAGATTTTCCTATTTAGGCCAAAAAATGTTTTCCGTGTTCTCTTCCCTCATTGTTCAGACATGAAACTAGTTCTTTTATTTTCCTAATACATCAAAACCAAAATGTTTTCATTACTTTGAATTTCCTCACATCTTAAGGCTCTAGTCATCTATAGTTACTTACATACTATCTTCTATGATCAATTTAATAAATTTAAGTCTCTAATTTTTAAAATTATTATTGGGGGTTGAACGGTGGGTAAACTTGCAGAGCTCAGGGCTTAATCTTTGCTCTGTACTCAGGGATTACTCCTGGTGGTGCTCAGGGACCAATATGTGATGCCAGATATAGCTGTGTTAAGTTAAGCCAAGTGCCTTAACTCTTGAACTATCTCTCAATGTTGGAAGTAAGTTACTTAGGGGCAACAATCAAACCTAGCTTATACTGTTAAGATTCTTCATAGCATTAACGGATTTACAATGTTTTAGATTCATTTTCTCATATGGAACAGAAAGTTTTTAAAATAAAACTTGAGGAGCCATCTACAAACAGAATAATAAGAGTGATAAGTGTGATAAGTGTGATAAGAGTAGATTTCCTATTTCTTTTTCAATATTTTTAAATCTTCATTTTAAGCACAAAATAAGTAATTTCACATAAATTTTAGTCACATATTAACTTAAAAATTCCAAGAACTGTGTAATCTTTTAATTAAAAATTATTTATATTTTTGACATGATCACTAGTCAAAATATTAATTTCTGGAAATTATTACTAGTGTCTCAAAAACTATGTACTTTATTAAAAATTTAATAATTTTATAACTTTCAAGCTGTGTTATCGATAGCACAGCAGAAAGGGTGTTTGCCTTGCGTGCAGCCAGCCTGGCCGAACCGGGTTTGATTCCTCCGCCCCTCTCGGAGAGCCCGGCAAGCTACCGAGACTATCTCGCCCACACGGCAAAGCCTGCCAAGCTACCTGTGATGTGTTCGATATGCGAAACACAGTAACAATTGTCACAATGAAGACATTACTGGGCCCACTCCAGCAAATCGATGAACAACAGGAGGAAAGTGACAGTGAAAACCTTCAAAATTCAGATAGCAAGAAATAATTAAAATTAATTTAAAATTTACCTTTTGGTATGTAGTATTTCAAATTTGTAAATATTTGATTAAGTCACATTTTGTTTAATAACTGTAAGGCAGTAAATCTAATTTTTATTTTACCTGAGTAGCTTTATCTTTCATGCATGAAAGGTAATGAACATGAGGATCCCGTGGCCACTGTCCTGTGAGGTAAGGTCCTGTTATCGTATCCAAAGAAGAGGTTCGCCTTATTGTATTAGAGGTTCGAACTTGCTGAGATTTTGGTCTGTCCACTATAAAAAGAAAAAAAAAGATTAGTCACTAATCAATGGCTTATTTTAAAATTATTTAAAGTTTATAGTTTTTAGAAAGTTATGTTTCCTATACTGTAAGTTTGCTCTCATAGTCTTATATGAACTGACAAAACTTATACCCTCTCTAAAGGACCAAGCATGATAACCTCTCAGGGCCTGTACTGCAAACCATAATGCCCAAAAGTAAAGAGAGATTATGGGGAATCATGTCTGCCATGGAGGCAGGGGGAGGGCAGGGAAGAGGGGGTGTACTGGAGAGATTGGTGGTGGGGAACGTGCACTGGTGGAGGGATGGGTGTTTCATCATTGTGTGATTGTAACCCAAACATGAAAGCTTGTAACTATCTCACAGTGATTCAATAAAATTAAAAAATTTATACCCTCTCCAAGGAGAATATGTTCACACAGAAAGTTTTGCACACACTTCCAGAGTTATTACAAATTCCATGAATCCTATTCATTTCTGACACATTTGGAGACGTTACTGGGCCCGCTCGAGCAAATCGATGAAAATGTACATAACAAAAAATAAATCTTGGAAGACACCAACAAGCTGTCGAGATGCCTTCAGACCCCGCGTCAGGCTGAGTCTCATCTGGGGCAACATGAAGTGGGGCGGGTGCATCCTCACACCTGCCTCAACAGAGCCCCAACAGCTGAAAACCTCCAAACCCAATCACGCCATGCTCATGGCTCATCTCCTGAGGTTTGGATGAGCCTCATCCATGAGGATGGATTAATCTGATGAAAAACTCAGGTATGTGGTTTTTGTGAACAAAATTTCCAGGCTCACATGTAATCAGGAATGGGTGACCTCCCTCTATCTCCCTGTTCTTCCGAGAGCCTGGCAGTAATGCCCAAAAACTGCCTCTGGAACCATATAAGTTTATTAATGGCCATGATCCAGAGACTCACAAATAAATCTTGGAAGAGAGCCACTAGCTGCAGAAATGTCTCGGAACCACAAAATCACCATCCAGTTAAAAATTTAATTCCAGCTGTATCACCCTATTTAAAATTTTAGAATTCCTAGAATGACATCTCATACTATATGCTACTGATCTCAATAATTTATGTGTGTACGTGTGTATGTATGTATGTATATACATACACATGTATGTACGTGTGTATGTATGTATGTATATACATACACACGTACACACATATTTGCACACAGGCTAAACCTGTAACATGTTATACAAAGGGTTAATGGCTCCAGGGTGAGATACTACAATCTTCACACACTTTTCTCTAAGGAAACTTTTTAAAATCATTTTTAGCAGGTTATTTGTAACAAAGAACACAAAATAAATTTTCAGGGGCAGGTTTTAGGGGTGGTGGAACTATTTGAAATAATAGTGCTGGGAAGGTGTAAATGGTGATGGGATTGTTGTTGTCATATTGAACATACTAAATTATTATGAACAACTTTATAAAGATTAAATTAAAAAATAAATATAATGTAAATATCATCTTGTTGTTCCTTACTCTAATCAAGAGACCATCATGTGGACTATTTCCTAATGGCTACCTCTGCAGCTATCACAATCTTTTTTTTTAAATTATTGAATTACCAAAGATTACAGTTATAAAATTGCTCACAACTGAGTATCAGTCATACAATGTTCCACCCCCATCCCTTCACCAGTGCACATTTCTCATCACCAATGTGCCCAGTTTCCCTTCAGCCTGTTCCCACACTCCTATTAAATCTTATAGTGATAGCTCTCACGCCTTCTTGAAAAAAAAGTTCAGTTACGTCTCTAACATAGTCAGTAATTTTCACAATTCAGCTTCCACATATCTCAACTCTTAATCTCTTGCTAGTTTTCCATCAACCCAGATTAACTAAGTGCTACAAAAACTCATGCAATTTAAAAAAAAAAAACTCATGCAATTTCCCAATGCATTAATAATCTTGTCTGCTTCTCCACATTCATTCTATTATTTCCTGAGTCTCCCTCTAGTTCACTCAAAAAAATTTTATATTGAATATCAGTTTATTTATCACACTACCTTTCATTCAATAACTTTTTCCATCTCTGGCCTTTCCTGTTTGAGATACACATACTCTTCTCTGCTAATATGGAACCCAAAGTTTGTCTCTATTCACTCTCCCCAGAGCATGTTTAAGTCTCTCTAGACTAAAAGGAGTTGGTGCATAATACTTAATCAAAGACTTCATTCACGGACCTCAGATATGACACTGAATAAAGAAGAATTTTAATTCAATATCTTCCTTTATAGAAAAAGAATTGAAAAGGTCAAAGGAATATAATGGAATTGATCAATAAAATTGATTTAATAGGTGACAAAAGCACAAGGGATGCCAGATCTACAGATATTCTATGTAGTTCAATAAATCTACTATAGCACCCTAGTACTCACCATATGGGTGTTACAGATATCTGCTAAAAACTAAATGATCATGATGAATTTTATATCCTCTTTATAATATTATGACTTTCATAATATACATCTGAAATAATTTACCATTACAAAACCCAATGGCTTACATATTCAAAAGTTGAGTGTGTTATTTAGAGTAACATCTTACATGAAACAAAATGCGACATTACAAAGAGTGAAGAATCTTGTTGAGTGCTATTCTTTTAACTACCTTCTTGAAACCAGAACGCATGATTTGTTTTAAAAATTAAATACAAAAAATGTGGCATACTCTGATCTTGTAGCACTGTCCTTCGGTTGTTCATTGATTTGCTTGAGCAGGCCCAGTAACGTCTCCACTGTGAGACTTGTTACTATGTTTGGCATATCCAATACGCTACAGGGAGCTTGCCGGGCTTTGCCGCGCGGGTGAGATACTCTTGGTATCTCTAATGAATAAGGGCTGTTAGTGAAGATCTGAAAACTCCCAGATCTCCCAGATCTTACTCCCTTTTGATATTATTTAAGCTCTTTCACTGTAGTCATAATATCTAGTTTGATTTATTTTGACTCTCTAAAACTTTCTTTGTAATAAAACACTCGATCAATGTTTTTTTTTTGGGGGGGGGGCAAACACACCAATGATGACTCAGGGTAGACTCCTTAGTGACTCTACTCTTAGGAATCACTCCTTGTGGGCTCAAGGGACCATATGCCAGGGATTGAACCCTGGTTGGCTATGTGCACGGTAAGTGACCTAACAGCTGTAACATCTCTTTTATAATAAAATTATGTAATATAGGAATAACTGGGGAAGAGTGATAATATAGTGGGTATGGCACTTGCCTTGCAGGTCACTGACCTGAATTATCCCTGGAACCACATATGGTCCCCTGAGCATTGCCATGATTAAGGCCTGAGCACAGCCGGATATGGCCCTCTCCAGAAAAAAATACAGGAATAACATAATTATTCATTTGCTCTGTCACATATTTAGAGAATTCTAAACAACTACAATGAGATCTACCAATTCACTTTTCTATAATTTCTAAATATTTATTTCATTTATTATCATTAGCTTTTTATATATGTATATATCCAAGATATCAGCATAGCTTAAATGCTTCACCATTATAATCTGTTCTTTATTACACTTTAAAGTGTAACAGTCTGATTACTAGACTCCCCTTTTGTTTATCTGAATAATTTTCTTGGCATACCTATCTTTTAATTTTTATGTTTTTGAATCATTTGTTATGTCTTCCATAAAGTAAGAACATAATTTGGGTTTAATCATCTTCTTGCAAAAGTTAAGTTTATCCTATTTACATTTATTACCTTAGCATATTTGATTTAAATTTTTATGTGATTGTATTTTTAAAGATTCCTTGCCCCTCCTTTTCTCCCTTTTTATTTCCTCTTACCTCCTTACTCAATGACCCATTACAGGTAATTTAGAAAGTACTTGGACTCTTTTTTGTTCTACTTAATACGCTATTACTTTTATAATTTTCTAGTTATAAAAACAGTAAGTACGAATTTTACCAACCTTAGAAAGAAAACAATCAGCATGCCATCCCAAAATGGATTTATTATTACTTGTCTTAAAACATTTTTGCTACTTTATACTTTCTACCAGGAAAAAGAAAACAACAAATTTCTTTTTAAAAGGGCTAGATGAATGTGAGCCACACCTAGTGTTCTCAGGGGCTGCAAATCTCTCTGTGCTCTTAATTAGTAATAGCTAAGTATATTAAACATTTGTAAATAAGCCTTCAACATCTAAAACCTGTATTTTAAACTTCAACTTTTTGTATCACCGGACCTCTGCCTTTCACTTTCGAAAATCAACATGTTCTACTCTTAGTTTCCACTCTCTTTAATTACTTTTACAGAAGAGTGGTTTTCAAATTTTTACTAATTACTCCATCTTGTAAATATGTAAGCACTCAATCACATGTGCAGTTATTTATAGGTAAAGTAAGATGTACTGTATTATAACAGACAAGAGAGAATGGTATTTACAGGAAAAAAATTAAAATAGAAATTATGGAGTTTGCTTTACTTTTAAAGGAATGCCTTACTTCACCTCCTAAGTAAAGACCAGTGGGACAATGCACTGTAATTGAATATTAAAGTCAATCTACAGAGTGGCCAGTTAGCTTTACCTACGTCTATATTTCTCTGTTTATAATGTATAACAAGCACACTACATTACCAATTTCCATACCCACTCAAAAAGTCTGTCCTAGAATGATAAAAGTGTTCAGAAAACTTTGTCAATATCTTGTTATAAAGCTTTCTCCACTGGTCACAATTGTTAAAAATAAAATATATCAAATATATCTGAAAGGTTGTATTTCACACAAATATTTTAAAAGAAATCAAATTGATTTGCAGTATCAACAGTGTGGAAACTGCTGAGGTCCTCAAGCAGGTTTTCTCAGAGTACAAGACATTTGTTAGATATGTTCTGGGCCCAATTTTTCTTTAACAATGTGGGATTCAATGGTAGTAGAACCAATAATCCTGAATTTTATTAAGCATTTTAATTCATACTAGTACTACTAAAGAGCTTAAAAATTAAAGTC